CTGTCAATGGGAAACATTACTGTTATAACAGGCCAAAACACTTGATAATGTTACAATCACTGCTGCGTGTTGAGCTGCCTGCAAGATGCCATAACCGCTTTGTTAGTTGCTTAACCAAAATATACCTCTCATATTACTTTATACTCTATAAATTGTAACGTTAGGGGGTCAGTATCACGATACTAACACAGGTCAGGTTGTTAAGTTAGTTTTTATTCAAAATATATTTTTAATAGGATGTATCTATATAAGCATTACCGAAAAGTTTGTTAAGGAAACTGAACAGAACTACTGTTAACAGCGTCCATTAGATGCTGTTAATTGTAGTTTTAACAAAATGACAAATTTATTGAAAGGTAATAACATTTTAATATAAAAATCATAAGAGTAAATCCATCATTACCATATGTTGGAGTTATAATTATTATATAGGAATAACATGGATTACCATACCATTACCATATAATATTAACATATGGAGAATTATAATATATGTATGACTTGGTTAAAACCCATAAACCAATAATTAGTTTCATAAGTTCAGTGTCATATAAAGTGTCAAAATGGCTAGTTCAAGTTCTAAATCCTATTGTCAGTAATGTTTCTAATTCATATTTATAGAATAATGTTGATTTTGTTGACAAATTATGTAATAAGAAAGAGCTCTGTAATCATAATGTTTGGTTAGCTTTGATATAACTTCTTTACTGACTAAAGCTCCTGTTGATGACTTACTAAGATGTTTATCTGATGAACTCTTAAAATATGATTTGCCCCTTCCAGTTCCTACGTTAATAGAAGTTATAAAACTAAGTGTTACTAACTCTAAATTTAGCATTTAATAATGCATTTTGTCAAAAATAAGGAATGGCTATCCGGGTAACCTTCTTTCTCCAGTTTTAAGCAATGTGTATGTGGAGTTGTATGAAGCAAGACTATTGAGTAACATTCTGCCTCCTGTCCTCACGTGGTGTCGTTATGCACAGGGCACCACAGGTGTAGAGCCCTGTAGAGCACCACAGACAATCGACTTGAGAATGGTCCAGGACGGACCGAAACGTCGTCGTCCCTTCAACTTCTAGTGTGTGGTCTGGTCAACCACCACAGGTGCCCTGTGCATGTTCCTCTGCTAAATTAAATCACAACTGCTAAATCACCAGCCAAGGGGCTGGCTGGCTGAGTGGACAGCGCTGTAGACTCGTGGACCTAGAGACTGGGGTTCGATCCCGGCAGCCGTCGGAAAAACAAATGGGCAGAGTTTCCTTCACCTTGATGCTCCTGTTACCAAGCAGTAAACAGGTACCTATGAGTTAGACAGCTTCTACGGGCTGCTTCCTGAGTGTGTGTGTAATTACTTAAGTGTAATTACCTAAGTGTAGTTACAGGATGAGAGCTACGCTCGTGGTGTCCCGTCTTCCCAGCACTCTTTGTCGTATAACGCTTTGAAACTACTGACGGTCTTGGCCTTCACCACCTTCTCACCTAACTTGTTCCAACCGTCTACCACTCTGTTTGCGAAAGTGAATTTTCTTATATTTCTTCGGCATCTGTGTTTAACTAGTTTAAATCTGTGACCTCTTGTTCTTAAAGTTCCAGGTCTCAGGAAATCCTCCCTATCGATTTTATCAATTCCTGTTACTATTTTGTATGTAGTGATCATATCACCTTTTTTTCTTCTGTCTTCTAGTTTTGGCATATTTAATGCCTCTAACCTCTCCTCGTAGCTCTTGCCCTTCAGTTCTGGGAGCCACTTAGTAGCATGTCTTTGCACCTTTTCCAGTTTGTTGATGTGCTTCTTAAGATATGGAGTTTGAATTTGATAAGAATTTGTGTGTGTGTGTTTGTGTGTTATCTTGAGGTTATCTTGAGATGATTTCGGGGCTTTAGTGTCCCCGCGGCCCGGTCCTCGACCAGGCCTCCACCCCCAGGAAGCAGCCCGTGACAGCTGACTAACACCCAGGTACCTATTTTACTGCTAGGTAACAGGGGCATAGGGTGAAAGAAACTCTGCCCATTGTTTCTCGCCGGCGCCCGGGATCGAACCCGGGACCACAGGATCACAAGTCCAGCGTGCTGTTCGCATGTTTGTGTTTGTGTGTGTGTGTGTGTGTGTGTGTGTGTGTGTGTGTGTGTGTGTGTGTGTGTGTGTGTGTGTGTGTGTGTGTGTGTGTGTGTGTGTGAAGAAAACAAAATTTTTAGTAGTTAGTAACATTTGATTGATTGACAGTTGAGAGGCGGGCCGAAAGAGCCAGAGCTCAACCCCCGCAAGCACAACTAGGTGAATAAAGGTGTGGTGTGTGGCACAGCTCAGCCGTCAGCGTCGTGTGGACACTCGCCAGATAACATGACTGTCGCCCAACCTCTAACACCTTCTCCCCTCAGTAAAAAAAGGTACATATTAATATGTTTTTTCTTATGTTTTTCATACAATTTAATAATTTTATAATTATTTTTTTCTGCATAGGCAGGCATGGCCATTTTTCAACTGCCTCATGTTGAAGGTTAAAGCACAAACTTCTAAACTGGGGGAGACCTGACCACTTTAAACTGTACCAGGACATTATAACACAGCAACTGGCTAAGTCCAAAGTCCGATTTTCAAAGGGTTTGGAAAGGTTAGGGAGAGGGAGAGGGATGAGGAGATGAAAATCTTGAAGAGGATTTGGATGGTGAAGGAATAGGCCTGAAAGTTCGGTGGCCATCGAGTATAGATCTTAGAGTGGAGTTCCTTATTGGAGAACGTTATTGTGAGAAAATTTGTATTACTCTTTACAAGTGAACTCAGTTAGAAATGACTGCACAGAGCCCACACGTTAAGTGCCAGATGTGAGATTATACTTTAAAACTGAAATAAAAGGCGAAGGCAGCCGCTGGAGCCCAATTCCTTGGTATCTCCCATCCACTAGGTCCTTTACCTCCTTAATTGCCTGTTACAATCTTAGGAGTTACTGCAGGTCCTCACGCCGAATTTGTATTCTGTGATTGGGTTAGGAATTAGGTTCGAATGTGTGTCGAGTGTGTGTTCGAAAGTTCGAAGTAGGTCCAGAAGCAGACCCTCATTAAATGCAAGGAATAGTCTAGTTTGTACCAGCATGAGTTAAGGGGCAATAGTATTGGAAGATGTTAACATAAAGACAATTTTCTTTTGGCAACAAATAACACATTAACAAACTTAATACTAACACAACCCACAACAATTTAACGTTATGTCAATTGTCCCAAGTGACACTGTGACAGCTAATCAAAGCCAGGATAGCCAGACTGTTGTCCGCACTGCTCTCGGCTGGTCAAATTGTTACTGAACATCGGATGCTCACTCGGGCTCAAGATGGAAATATAAATAATTGTAGTCAAAACAATTTAACAACAAAACAAAACGACACAACCAGACTGGTCACTGAGACAGTCTTCTGTAAACAATAACAATTACGTTAACACGTGCCTCTGTGGACGACAATCAGAACAACAACAATTACGTTAACACGTGCCTCTGTGGACGACAATCAAAACAACAACAATTACGTTAACAGGTGCCTCTGTGGACGACAATCACACTCACCAAGGAGAAGATTTGAGAAGGGACAGAAGAAAGTGAGCCTCAAAGCAATGTACACTAACATATGTTGAGGTTATCTTGAGATGATTTCGGGGCTTTTTAGTGTCCCCGCGGCCCGGTCCTCGACCAGGCCTCCACCCCCGGGAAGCAGCCTGTGACTGCTGACTAACACCAAGGTACCTATTTTACTGGCAGGTAACAGGGGCATAGGGTGAAAGAAACTCTGCCCATTGTTTCTCGCCGGTGCCTGGGATCGAATTCAGGACCACAGGATCACAAGTCCAGTGTGCTGTCCGCTCGGTCGACCGGCAACATAGATGGAATTACAAATAAAGCAAATGAACTTGGAGAATGGGTGCTAGAGGAAAACCCAGACATAATAGCTCTCACAGAAATAAAGCTAACGAAAATCATAACAAATGCAGTGTTCCCACAGGACTATTATGTTATGAGGAAAGAGAGGGAAGGAAGAGGTGGTGGTGGTGGTGTAGCTCTGCTAGTAAGAAAAGGCTGGGATTTTGAGGAGGTGGTTATTCAGGACTGTGAAGGTTTCAGTGACTACATAACAGGTACCAAAACAACTTGAGGGCAAAAAATTATAGTCGTAGTCATATATAATCCACCACCAAATGACAGAAGACCCAGACAGGAATATGATAGAAACAACATGGCCACCATTAACATAATAGAGAGAGCAGCTTCTGTTGCTAGCAGGAATGGATCTGGACTACTAATCATGGAGACTTCAACCATGGGAAGATAGATTGGGAAAACAAAGACCCACATGGAGGACCAGAAACATGGAGGGCTAAGCTGCTGGACGTGGCAACAAGAAACTTTCTAAGCCAGAACATCAAGGAACCAACAAGAATCAGAGGAGAAGATGAACCAGCAATGCTTGATTTGATATTTGCCCTAAATGAGTCGGATATAAGGGAAGTTAAGATGGCCAACATAAGAACGGCCTTTAGAAATTTGTGCAAGGAATCATTCAGAACTTTGTATACCACATATGTCAGGCCAATCCTGGAGTATGCAGCCCCAGCATAGAGTCCATATCTAGTTAAGGATAAGACTAAACTGGAAAAGGTTCAAAGGTTTGTCACCAGACTAGTACCCGAGCTCAGAGGTATGAGCTACGAGGAGAGACTACGGGAATTAAACCTCACTTCGCTGGAAGACAGAAGAGTTAGGGGGGACATGACTACCACATTCAAGATTCTCAAGGGAACTGATAGGGTAGACAAAGACAGTCTATTAATATTTAATACAAGGGGCACACGCACTAGGGGACACAGGTAGAAACTGAGTGCCCAAATGAGCCACAGAGATATTAGAAAGAACTTTTTTAGTGTCAAAGTGGTTGACAAATGGAATGCATTAGGAAGTGATGTGGTGGAGGCTGACTCCATACACAGTTTCAAGTGTAGATATGATAGAGCCC